CCCCCGTCCATCTCCCAGGGTGAGGCATTAAGTAGTGATAACAGAAAACAGGTTCTGAGAGAGGGAAGGTGATGGAGGGCGGAGAGGGAGGAAAGGAGGACAGAAGGAAAATAGGGGGTTACAAGTGTGCCGTACCGAGGAGATTGGAGGGGGGTGTCCAAAAATGCTGTAGCACAGAGTCTGACTACCTAAAATGGAAGTTTCTCAGACGAGGATCGAGACAAATGGCGACCTTCGCAACGGACAAAGTGATGAACAGTAAATGCAAGAAAATGAGAGCAGGAAAAAGAAAAAAAAGGATGACAAAAATTTTGAAACGTGACTCTAACTCAATAAATGCCCGTCTGAGTCGCCATAGAGGATGCCAGATTCCACCTTTACTGAGGCCATACCTGCAACTGGAAATGGTTTCCTGTCATCCACAAACACGCTTGTACTCTAATCCTGGCAATTACATCCAATGTTCTACACGTGTAAAACATGAGAAACAATAAAAAAGGAAACTAGCTGCAGCCCCTAAACTCCCCTAAAACCCCACCTTCCACCAGCAGGGCTGGGGCGCCAAAAAGCAGATAAATAAGGAATAAACAAAGACTTTCATTTGGTATTAACTGAAAACACATCCCCATGCAGGGCCATCTGCCACTCACAGCCCACGACGACGAGCTGTTGGGTGAGTGTGTGTGTGTGTGTGTGTGTGTGTGTGTGTGTCTTGAATAAGCATTCCTGCAACTGTGTGCGCAATTAGGGTTTCGGGCTGTTTGTGTGTGTACAGTATGTGCGTGTGTGGTTGCGTGGCGGCGGTGGGGGCTGTTAGCGGTTCCATCTGGGCCTCCTGGAAGCCGCGTGGAGTCGAAAAAACCAAATCTCATAAAAGAGAGGCAGCCCAATGTTCTACAAGGACAGAACATTACAGAGAATGTCGCTCAGGAAAAGTCTGGACTACAGCCCACATGTTGGCTTCCCACTCACCCCCCACCCCCACCTCACTCCAATAGACAAAATAGACGGTGTCGAGTGTGGGAGACAGAAGCTGAGACCAAGAGGCTCAGTTTGATCGCAATTCCATCTGTCTGAGTGGAGCAGAGAGACGTGAGCGGTGACAAGCTCGGGGGTCAGGCGGTATGAGAGGATCTGGTGCCTTTTGGCCGTGGGCCTGTGTGGAAAAATGGTCCCTGGCAGAGGAGAAAGATAGGGAGGGAGAAGAGGGTGAGGAGTGGTGAAGGTGAAGTACCACCAGAACAAAGGGAGAGGCAGTGAATGGACATGTTTTGGGTTCACGTATTATCTTGGATTGAACTTGAAGTCAGAGGAACATGAGAAAACCACACAACCCCCAGTCAGCTGTGTCAGGTTTTACAAATCAGTGTTTAAAGTTCAGATTACAGCATAACACATCTCCCTGTTCACCACCTTACATGCATGAGCAACTAGTTAGACTGTAGCTCCTTTACAACTGACTGTATCCTTATTTGTGCTGTTTTAACAGTGACCATGTTCTCTGGATCAGGAGTCTACAACCAGAACCATCACGGCTGCATTGGTTTTCTCCAAAGCTGCAAAATGCACCTAAAGCCTCAAATTCATCAAGTGTTTTAGTTAAAAAACAATATTTCAGTATCTTGTAAAATTAATGAATTATGCATAAATTAGTGACACTAATTGAAAAACAGGAAAAACTTTCTTTTCATTTATACCCTCTAGAAAAGTAGTTCCACTTAAAAACACTAAAGCGTGGTAAAAAGGATCACAGTGAGAAGAACGTGTTTTCAGCTGGTTATTTAATTGAGACTAATTAGTTTTTTGGATTATTTTTTCTTAGAAAAACAGATTGTTCCTTCAACCTTTGTTAAATAAGTTTAATCAAAGGTGAATTATCAATAAAACTCATTTTTTAATGTGATTACAGCACTGTGCTGTATCTCACAACTGCACCTTCCTTAAATATTGTTGTGGATTTTCAGAATAAAACCTTGAGCTGGCTGGAAAATGGATAAAAAAAAGTTACAAACTGTTAGAGAAAAACTGTTCTGTTCTCTGTCACAGCGATTTAAATTATATATATATGCAAAAACATGGACATTAACAAGTTAGATTGTACTTGTGTGTGTGTGTTTATATATATATATATATATATATATATATATATATATTTATATATTCAAATATATAAATTAGAATTAGAAGAGCTATTAAATTGAAATTTAAAGGTGAAACTGGAAAAATGAGAATAAGATGCAAAAGTCCATTAATTTCAGTAATTTGTGTTAGACTGAGAGACCAACTAAAGGCTCAGCAACCATTTGCAGGTTTTTTGGATTCATTAGCTGATTAGAGTTTGACACGTTGAGTCTAGAATATTGAAACTTTCGCAATGTTCTAATGATCTGAGATTCTGATTGTAGGGTTTTCATAAGCTGTAAGCCATAATCATCACAATTATAACAAATAATGGCTGAAATTTCTGGCTTAGCATCTAATGAGTCTATCACTTTCACTTTTTAATTTGTTCTGTGACTGAGCCTTTAACATAAAAATCTAGCTGCTTTGTGATCACAGCAACGTAAGTGTGAGTAGAAATGTCCTCGGCTGATGTTGACGTGAATGAGCAACACTTCTTTTACATCAGTGTGTGCTGAAAGTGCGGCACGTAGGAGTTTGGCTCACTCACGCACGGCGTGTACCGAGAGACGCTCACCGTGCAGAGCTCAGGTCAGTTTGATCTGGGCCATCCAGCACACAAACACGTAGCTTCTCTTCATGATTTCCACCTGAGTGACGTCAATGAGTTATGGATTTGTAGGCTATAAGAAAGGTATTGTTGCATCAGCTTTGAGGTGGCTCACTTAAAAAAGCTAAAAGGAACCCGAAAACGAGTTTTTAGCTAAACGCTCGTGTCTTTTGGAGACGTTTTAGTACGCTAACGAATGTAATCAGTTTCCTTTTTTCCTTTGCTACAAAAATAAGCAAAGACAAAACCTAAAAAATGAAAAATAAAATGCATAATCACAGCACGCCTATTAGAGTCCTAATGTCTAATGAACAAGAAGCTTCATCCACACATAGTTCAGGAAGAGTAGAGGATCTGATTTTGCTGTTTACCTGACATAAAGCAACAATAACCACTTTACTCTGGTGGTCTGATCAGGTTTAGTTTAAAACCAGCATTTAAACGCTGGACTGCTACTTTATCACCAGGAATGTCCCTTGACATCGGTATTAAAAAGACAACTTATTATCCATCATCTGCAGAGCTTTGCTCCTTGTTTTATTTCTCATTTACCGGGGCCTAGCGGTGAGGAACACACGCCCTGACACGGAGCGTTGCTCGGGGGCTTCAGGAAGATGATTAAATTTCATAGCTGCTCACGAGCTAATAGGGCCGTACGACTGCTCACTGTCCTTAAGTGACTGGCTGCTTCTCCGCAGCCGTGACCCCTTTGAAGCCCGTCTGAGATCTGGAGGATTTAGACGGTAGCGTGACACGGGGCTGAGCAGTTGAGCAACGCTGCTCCCGCCCGCCGACGATTAGAAGCAGCTGATAAAAACACAGAAGCTTCTGGAAACATGGCTGAAGATGTTTTCTAGTGCTGATTTTACGTTTTTCTTTTTAATTGTTTGACATTGGTCAATCGTTTGGGCAAGCATATTTTAGTTCCTTTATCATAATGACGGATGCACCAAACCTCAGGTTATTTTCTCTTTAAACAATTAGAATGTTTGCCTAAAATGGTAATAATATAAAAATAAAATGCTTTTACAGCAACAAGTAAAGACAACCGGCACAGATGTGTTACTCGGTGTGAAGATGAAAGATTTAATTCACAAATAAATAATGATTAGATTAGTCAAAGTCACACAGTACAAAAGGGCGGCGTGCATTAAAACTGTTTTCACACTAACTTATTTAACTGAACTTATATATGGATAGAGAAGTTAGATTTATTTGCATTTTCCTAATTAAAAATGCAGTTTATTCATTGAAAATGTTTAAAAGCAATTTGATTAAATAAGTGAATTAGATTAATAGATCATTCAGGTCGATGGAAATGCAATTAGGACAAAATTATACAGGATTAAACTACAGATTTGAAAGTTATTGTTCTATTCTATTCTATTCTATTCTATTCTATTCTATTCTATTCTATTCTATTCTATTCTATACCGAGACATGTTTCCAACAGAAGCAGTTTCCATCCACAGACCAGGCTCTATCCACCATGCTGTTCCACTTACTCTGTTGGAAAACTAAACCATATATGAACGCTGATAAGCATATGTGCACAAAGACACACACACACATACACACACACACACACACACACACACACACACACACACACACACACACACACACACACACACACACACACACACACACACACACACACACACACACACACACACACACACACACACACACACACACACACACACACAGAGGCCTAACCACATGCATGTGTTCAGTCCCTCTTAACTAATTCATTCAGGAACACTTGGGTTTGGGGTTCAACACCAGGAACCGTTGTACTGCTGATTGAGAAACGTGTCTGACTGCAATTATCTGGGAGGGACAAATGGAAGGAGGTAGGATAGTGGTTACAGTGGTTTATAGTTTGCCGGCGCAACATTTTTCCTCACTTTTTGTTTTTTCTTTCCTATTTCAAACATGGGGGGGGCACAGTACTGTTGACAGGCCAGGCAAAGAGGGGCAAACCGAAGTAAAAGTAACAGAAGGAAAATGTGAGGAAAGTGGACGGACAATGGGACTGAAGTGGCCTAGATTGTCACTGCTGTGCTTTACAATCAATACAGCTCAAACTAGCTGAGCTGTGATGTGGGAGAAATCGGTAGGTAATCTTAGTGAGAGAGAGCTGGTAGTGATCACTGGTGTGGGACTTAATCCCCACTTTTAAAAATGATGGAAAATTGTCGCCGAAGCCTGAGCAGGATGGAGAGAGTCGGTAAGGAGCAACGATCTTTGGCGTGCCGTCACTGACCTGCAGGATGTAGCCCCTGACGTAGTCTCGGAGGGTCCAGCCCAGGCCGTGCAGGATATGCAGCACCTCTTCCTGTTTGAGCACGGAGAAGAGGCGGTCCAGGAGGATCTTGAGCCTGACGGGAACCGCCTGGGTGCCGTACAGCATCAAGCTGCTGATGTCGAACACGACATTGGACTGAACGATCTCCACCTGGGTCGGGTGGTAGAGGTGCTGGGTGCTGAGCTTGTCCAGAGCTGTGTGAGAGGAGACAGAAAACATAATGCACATTAAATCCACGATCAGATTTCTCTCTAATATCATATCTGCTCTTGCAGACCGCTGCACAGTCAGCACAGCCGGATAGCCACACATCCGAGACAATGGCATTGATGTGATTATCTGCCATTCTTTCCATTTAACGTAATATCTGCTGCTCTTGCTTCTTTGGACTTTTTTGCTTCCTTCCACCTTGAAACCAGTTAACTTTTGACAGATTTTTACTCACATGTGTGGATACTCCAGTGGTTTTAAGAAGAGCCCAACGTGGGAAGGACACTGCAGCTTTTAGACACATGCGGTACATCAGGCTCACAGGCTGTTTTATTCTCTGCTGGGCAAGCAGTCAGTGTGCCTCCCTTTCAAAGCTACTCACGTTTATCTCTAAAACCATTTATTTATCCTCCTTCGAAAGAACTAGGCACACAGATCACCAAATCACACTTTCTCAGTCTAAAGGTATACCTCAAAGTCAGACTTTTTAGAAAAAATATTGTTTGGATGACTTGTTTTGGGATAGAAACTTTGGTTTAGGGTGTGCATCTAACGTATAAAGACTAAAGGAATCTTAGAAAGTAGAGATCAGGTGGTTCCTTCTCTGCCGGGAGTTACTCTTACTTACCACGTCTCTTTTCCTGACGATCTGTGCGACACCTGTTGACACTCCTTTTTAGTCTCAGTCCCTCTTTCTTTCCTGCCTCCCTACATTCCACAACCTCCCTCCTCTTCCTCCCCCTCTCTCCTGGCCTGTCTGGGTGACACCTGGTTGGGTCTCTCTCTGATCCTGGGACGGCCGGTTTTTTTTCCTTCCCTACTGATGAGAGCTTTGCCTGACAACGCGGTGCAGCCAGACACGAACATAATAAAATATGAAGAACTACTTGTCAGAGTCCCTGCCAATGCCGACATGAAATGAAAAGTGGGAGAGCGAGGAGATGTGAGCCTGACAGTTCAGAGGGAGAGATTAAAAAATAGTCAACGGGGTCCTGCGCGATTCGCTGGAGGGCCCGTGGCCCACTCCGGTGCAGACGCGAGCCAAACAGGTGTTTTCCTTTATCCTTTTTCTCTTTGTTCTCTCTCTCTCTCTCTCTCTCTCTCTCTCTCTCTCTCTCTCTCTCTCTCTCTCTCTCTCTCTCTCTCTCTCTCTCTCTCTCTCTCTCTCATTAAAACCTCACAAGGTGTGGTCTTTGGGTTTTCTATCACTCTTATAAATGTGTTTTCCCTGTTTTCACAAAAGCATAAAAAGGAAACAAAAAAGTTGCAAAGTTCCTTCAAAGATAATAAAACTTTTATTACACTTAATCAATTTAACCACAGAGGGGAAAAATACATTTGCATGATGAGATAGCATGCTTCTGGCTTCTATGATAATTTTTCATACAGAGCATTTTATGCATATGTAGGTCAGGACCTTTTTCTTTCTTCTGCAGCAAAAACAAGCAGCTTGAATCAGCTTTGGTTCAGAAACGTTGGTACTATTCTCACACACAGCTATTGTATGAACTTGTTCTCTTACCGTGAGCCACCCAGCCGTGTTTGCACTGGTCACATGTTCGAAGGTGGATCTTTCCAGGCTGGAAACACTCACACGTGCAGTTCACCAGTGTGCAGCGAATGGCCTGAAACAGATACAGCCACACAGAAATCACCGTTAAAACCTGCTCAGTCAGTCTCAAGGGTAAGGAGCGCAAAGGAGAAGCAGAGGAATAGAAATAAAATACCTTCAATGTAACAGAAAACACCAGGTTTACATCTTATTCTACTAATGTTCCTGTTCATTTTCACGTGTAATATCCACCAACACAGGCCTGTAACTTGCTTTGACTGAGGGTCCGCTACTCAACACGAGGGCTGCACTTTGTCTGACCTCGGAAAGCTTTTAGTAGTGAGAGGTTAAGTGACCAGACACGACGCGGGGCGAATCGGTACCGCACGTATACGCTGCCTGTTGAGGGTTAGGCTGTGGAGATGCATCGTTAAGCGTAATCTACAGGAGTTTACTTTAAAAAAATATGTTACCTGCGCTAAAGATCTGGAAAACAAAAAGATCTTTGGTAGCACAGGGAAGGTGTTGCAGATCCTGCACTACTGGAGCAGCAGCTGCAAGCTGTAAAGTCTAAGTTTGGAGGTGGAAGAGTGAGAAGAATGGTTAGAAAGTGAAGAGTTAGAAAAAATATGAATGTTACGTCTGATTTGTAAATTATGAAAATAGATTTATAAAATAAAATGATTTACATTTTCAATCTGCAGCTAAATATGAGAATGTTTCTTTCCTGACATGATGGAAAAATTAGGATATCTTTTTTTTTCTTCAGAAAAGTAAAAATAATCTAAATATGATGAGCCAGTTGGATTATCTGAGGCCTCCTTGCGTCTACTACTAAAGCTTCACTTATCGGCTCATAACATTTCATGAATTTATGGTCTGAAGAGAATATTATCTCTGCTTCTCTCTGTTTCCCCTACAAAGCACTGGTGTGACAGTTATGTGGCACAGACAGAGGGGTCATAGGTCGGAGTCCATGTCTGCAGCAGCATCCTGTATTTCCCAACATCAGACACAATCAGCGTTTCCCCAGAACCAGATCAGCCCTGTGTCACCAAACTAAGATCAATGCAGCAAGCAGAGAATGCTTCTGCTCTTTGCTGCGTGTGCACAAACTCAGGTGCACGTTCAGGTGTTTACCTACAACATTCACCTGGTCTCTGGATTTAACCTCCATCCATGTAACTCAACCAATAAAACACATAATCTACTGAAAGACCTTACAATCCACCAGAATCCCCACCTTGCCTTCCCTGTGATGTTGCTAACCAGATTAGTTACTGGAGGTATCAAAGTGAACATGAGCTAATCCAAGATTAAAGACAAAATTACACCACTTCTAAACTGTGTCACCTCACAGTCTGACACCAAACGAGACACTGAGGCAGAGATTATTTGAATTTACACCATTTTTAAGCTCTCCAGGTGCGGCTGCAGCAATCCTCTCAACGTGCAAGGATTACACGGCGTGTGTCAGATAGAGCGCACGGCGACGTGCACTGAGCTGTAATCCAGGACCGCGTACTAGACATGAGTTTGGCAGTCCTTACCTCAAACATGGACTAAAGGTGCACCAATGGGTAAAAAATGTCAGATTTGACTATAAGGCTAAGAAAGGCCTCCGTTCTGAAGAGAACTCAAAGATCAGTCAGAAACATGAAACCAAGGTGTTTTTCCCCCGGGGAGTTCATCTATATCTGGGTTTTTCTCAAAGGGATGATTTGTACCGTCATTGAATTAACACAAAGAAGAGATTAATGAATGAGACTTGGTCAAATTTATGTATCTTTAAAAGTGTTTTTTTTTATTGCATATAAATACCCACCTGACGAGGAAGGAAACACTTTTTCTACAACCTAAATCATGAAAACATCAACTAAGACAAACCCAGAAAATGAATAGATATAATTGACCCATTCAGATGTAAAAGGCATGCTTTTGGTAGAGCATGCAGGAAATAAGGAACAATAACAGATCATATGCACTAAAAATCATTTATCCATCTTTTAAATTTCCGTTACAATTTTTATCTTCATTCCACAAGTTTGTATTTTTCGTTCTTCTTCCAGAACTGCATTTTAAACTACATGTAATGGATTTAGCACTGTGATGACACACTCCACAGGCCTTTTGAATTACGTCTCTGTGCAGCAGCCCAACTTAGAAATTGGAAATAAACAAATGGAAATGTCAAAAGCACGTCTGCTGTTTACGAGCCGGGCCCTGACAGCTGACGAGATAGTTAAGGGGCATCTAATACGGCAATTAGAGCATGCCACTGTCTGCAGGGCTGCTGCTGTGACAAGGCGCCCTCTAATCACTGACTTATTGTGCCGACTAGCAGCACCTCTCATATCTGGCCCATTAAGCAGACAGCAGCATTAAGAAGCATTAAAGGAGCAACAACCCCCCCCCCCCCCCCCCCCCCAAACTGAAAATGCAGTGATGGGAAAACAGGAGAAGGGAACAAGCTGTGCTTGTTTTTGTTTTTTTTTTTCTTTTTAGGGTTAATTTGTGCATCGCTGCATGTTCGGTTAGAAAAGTGTCAGAGGTACGGGTGAATGTGACAGGATCAGAGTTGATCACATGAGATAAAAGATTCCAAACTGAACGGAGCCTGATGGGTGCATCAAAGATGGCCGTCAGAACAGCTAGAAAAGATGCGAGGGGAGGAGACGAGACAAAGAAAATCTCTGAGATCCTTCAAACTGTGATGGATCTGGGTTGGCCCTGGTTTAGCCCGTTTGTCTGGTCCTGGACCAGTGAGGGACGAGCTGGAATCCAGAACCCATCGCTACACGTGTACATATTTGTCACAGCAGGCTGTGGGAGGACAGCGGTCCAGATACTCAACGTTAGTCACAGTTAGAGTCTCGCCAGCGTTTCCTGTTTGGCTCAGAGCTAAAGAGCATGATGTTAAGGAAAAGGACAGAAACTGTGTGTGTGTGTGTGTGTGTGTGTGTGTGTGTGTGTGTGTGTGTGTGTGTGTGTGTGTGTGTGTGTGTGTGTGTGTGTGTGTGTGTGTGTGAATAACTAACAAACTGTGTGAGAAGTACATCCCACAGCGATTAGACCCAGACAACAGCCAACCCTCACTAACAGCTGGTGTGTCACCGCTACAGTCAACAACCCGACCAGGCTGCTCTCTGTCCTTATCTGGTTCAAGTTTGTGTCTCACGGCTGGCTTTTGTTTAGCTCCAGGCTTGATGTTTCGTGGATGTTTCCCTTGCCTCACGGTCCCTGTCCCAGCCCAGTTGTATAAACAGTGACAGTCAGCGTCGGCCTGGAGAGGACTCTCAATTAAAACACTGTTAGTGGCACAAATGCACTGAACAGCTCCAGGAGGGGAGGAGCGGCATGAAGAGCGGTGTCTTGCAGCTATTTGGCTGTGTGGCATTAACATGCAACTCTAAACCGAGCAACATGTGTAAAGGTTAACAACAACATTCACTTGGCTTCTACAAGCACCATGAAACAATAGAAGTCACGGCGATCCTAAACTAATATCCTGTACAACTCTATTACTGCCCTGTCTTCATTCAAAGCTGACTCTGTAACCAAACGCCACTAAAAACATTTCTAAAATACCAGTCGCCCTGCCGGTCTCAGTCCCTCTGAATCCTCTCTGCGCCGCTCACAGACCGAAGCCAACCCAGACAGCTGCTGGATTCTGGGTGTGTGTTGTTCCTCCTACTTTAATTGAAACCTTTACCATGTTCAACACACAGCCACAGACCACATTTCTTGTTTGGTGAGTTAAGCAAAAGCCGAGGTTTAAATGAAAACCCTGTGTGCGCGTGCGCGGAGCCGCGTGCTCGCACGGCACCGGCTTCGGATTTAAATTTGTCTCTGCTTAGGGTCATTGTAAAACACTGGGTGTATCTTGTCCTCTCGTCCACCCACAAGATCTTATCTCATCCATGAGTTAGCTGCTGAGACGCTGTCAATTTCCTGCCAGAAATCTGCGCCCAACGTGTGGAGGGAAGGAGGCGCGGCGGCTCTGCGTGTCATAAAAGCAGGCCCCGAGTCCATCCGACAGATCGGAGGCTTCTCGATGTCCATATTGGAAACAGGTGACAAATAAAACATGCCAAATATGAAACAAAAAGAAAAGCCTTTGTAGTTTTACACAGCATGCCACAAAAAGATAAAAAATAAAACAACAGGGCAGCAAATGCCTCATGCCAGTGCTAATCTCTACTCGTTTGATTTTGTCCATGAGGTCTGACTTAAAACAGCTTTGATGACGTGGGACAAAACAATGTTTAATGGCACATGTTACATTTTATATGTCGCTCTGCTGGATAAAGGAAAACTGTAGTAGACAGAATAAATGGTGTTTTGTCAGTGGGATTCCCACAGGATCCGGCCCATCCTCCTTGTCAGTTCTTGTTTGAAGTACCTGAGCCAGAGGTCCCTGTCCTCTGTGCAGCTGTGTGTCTGGGCTCTGACACAGGGCAGAGCGACCCCAGCTATGCTAATGGGAACCAAATGGGGCATGAGCCCCCGGTGGATAACAGAAGGAGAAGAGAAGCATGTGTTTTCATGTATTCATGTGAAGACCTGGGACCCCACTCTTTCTGATTTTCCTTTTTTCTTCTTTTCCAACACGCGGAAGCCTCTGCTGTTTGCAAACATCCCCCAATAACACTTTTCACCGCTGACAGATACTGAAAGTTACTCTCAGTCAGCTGATGCCTCTCTAATTTATCAAGTCCTTTTCAAACGCACTGCTCTTTGGGCCCAGAAGGGGAAACTAGTGGACGATCAGAAGTGTCTAAGAGTTTTTGTTGTGTGAAATCTTCATCACGAGTTTCAGATGTTTGGCGGCACTCCTCGGTCCTGCCACGTGTTGCTTTCACCTGTTTTAAGTGAAAAGAAATTTCTTGCTGTGTCAACAACAGAAAAGACGGAGGGGGGAAAAAAGAAAGTTTGAGACCATCTTTCAAACAACCAGAGGGGGTAAGGCTTAATCGTCTTCAGATCAGCGCTGGAGACAAAACCGTTTGAACGAGCGGCTGTTTTCCACATTTCTCTGGAGCTCTTCTGCAGGTGATGGAGTTACTACACAGT